CGGTGCGCAGCGCCGCTCGCCTGGGTCCGGCCGCCGCGCCGCCGAGGTCGGAGCCGGCGGGTCCCAGCACGCTGTCCCCCGAGGGCGTCGAGCAGACTCCCGGCGACACCGCCTCCTTAGCGCGCGCCCGGGCTGAGGAAAAGAAGCGCCGCGACCCCTAACCGGCCCCGCCCCGCCCCATCCCTCCTAGCCCCGCCTCACCTGCTTGGCCCCGCCCCCGGCTCCCTCGGGAGCCCCACCCTCACCGCAGCACGTGGTGACGTGAGGAATCGACGCCCTCGGGCAGCCATCTTTGTGAGGTCTTCGGGCGCTTTCTGTGCCCTTCTTTCTGGGCTGGGAAAGAGGCGTGACATCCATGGAGTGAAGCGTGCGGCCAAGGGGTGTGCTTAACTTCACCTGCTTAACAGTGAGTCAGCTAATTTTTCACTGAGAATCACAGTGAGCTGGCAGTTAAAACACATTTAAGACAGATTAGTAATTTTCTTGACTTTTGTTTTTGCTTAAATACATCTCTATACTACACACGATAATGTCTTCTCAGTCCGACTTCTGTAAGATTGTAAGGAAGCATGAGGTATTTGCCATACTGTGTAATGTGGTGTGACTGGTGGAACCAGAGAGGAGCTGGACCAAGTTGTCCTAGAGCTGGAGAGAGAAAAGGAACAAATCATAATCGGCAAAGTGACATTCTGGGGCGTGAAACGTCACCCTGGGAGGAAGGCTCAGACTGGATTACAAAAGAGCAAGACCTGATGCCGGAAGAGTAGTTAAAAACTTGATGAAAAGTCCAGGTGAACGTTGAGGGAGGTAGCACTGGTGATAAAAAGAAAGTATAGACGGTGATAGAAAAGAATAAGGGAGGAAGGTGTAGAAAACACAAGCAAAGTATGACTCCAAGAGTTTTGACTCTTTCTGTACCACTAACGGACATAGTGAGATACTATACAGATAATGTTTGACAGTGGAGACCAAAGGTCACCAAGATTAAGATCTTGATGCTTCAATACCTCACATCATACCCACTCTCACATCTTAAAATGTTTCAGAAAGTCCACCTCATGAATTTGCCACCAAAAGTTCAGTGCATCCAAAAAACTGAACTCCTATTTTTCAGCTAATCTCTCATTAGGTATAACATCCTCCCGGCTCTTCTTCAGGTCAATCTAGAAATCATCTTAAAGTCCTCTATCAATCTAGCAAACAGTGCTTGTGTTTGTTCTTTGGGATATCAATGATTTGTACCCTTGCACCTTATCTCCAGTAGTAGCATAGAGATAGTGCCCCCTTCAAATGCCATATATTTATTACAATATCATCCTGTCCATATGTTAATTACCTCAAAAGACTGTAGGAATACAGGCTATGTGCCAGGAAGCAAGATAGCATTGTGGAGGCAGTGGTAAAAAAAAAATTCAGACACACACCATGCTGTCAGAAATGAAGAACATACAGAATATTGTAAATGTTGTAGTGGGAAAGTGTATGATTCTGTATTATATTCTAGTGGATCAATTTGACCTATTCATTCAAGTGTGTTCCCCAAGAAAGTGATGGAATTGAGATCTGAATAGGGTTATTTAGAAGAAAAACATTCTAGGCAGAGAATGACCCCTTAGTGAGTAACAGTCTGCCAAGTATGAAGGACTAAAGGAAGTTCAGTATGAGCAGAAGCAAAGGAAATAATCAAATCTGTGTTTAATAAAAATATCTGCTGGGTGTGAGATAGGTGAAAGAGAAAGAAGCTGAATGGAATGGATGAAGATAAGTTTTCTTAGGAAACTTACAGTTGGCCAGTCAGGAGATAAGAGATGTCTGTACCAAAGTGAAAACAGTAGTGGAGTTAGAGAAAATTAAATACATTTTCCAATTGTGGGGCTGCATTTAAGAGAGAGACCATGTGGTAGTAAGGGAAGAGTGTATGTCAAGAATATAATAATCATTTTCTGGATTGCATATCTGGCTGGGTAATGTATGTAATGACATACATTGATTGGTACAGATAGAAAGTATTAAGTAGCCTCATACTTCTTATATTTGAGGTACAATGGAGACATCCAAGAGAGATGAAATAGGCCAACCCTGAGGCGTATAAGCTAGAGACCTAAATTCACATGTCATTTGCATTTAGAGTAGAAGTAGCACATCAAACATAAATATACTAGAAAAGAGTGAGTATGCCTGGGTCCTAAAGAGTTGAGGAGCTGTACATTAGAACTCTGGATCTAATGTCTGGGTGGCCTGTGTGGTTCTGTAAAACTTACTGGAGGAACAGCCCTTGGAGCGGTAATGGAAAAAGGTGACTGCAGTGTTCTGGAGGATTGTGAACATAAACATTTGGAGGAGTTAATGGTATGAAGTGGTGTGAAGAGGGTTCAATAAAAAGAAATGGCAATGTCATTTCCGGCGTCTCAGCATGCGGTCACAGATGACTTTAGTCAATGCCGTATGGCTGGAGCCCCGGGTCTGCATATCATAATGAAGTCCATACAGACCTGAGTTTCAGGTGTGGGAGTGGCAGCCGAAAGCAAATGATTCTTTTTAAAAGGCTAAGGGTTAAAGGGAGAAAAATCACATGGTAGGTAGGGGGAACGAAGTTTTGTTTTGTTTGAGAACCAGCCATGGTGCTGAAAATCCCTGATCTCAGCATCTGAGGAGGTTGGCACACAAGGGTCATGCATTTAAGGTCAGTCTGGAGAATTTATTGAAAAGTTCTTATGCTGATGATATATTTTGAGTTGGTTTGAGTTTTTGGTGAGCAATAAAAAAAATCATTTTCTTCTCTTTGAGTAAGAGAAAAAGTGAGAGAAATTGACTGTATAAGAGAGAGGGGGTAATGAAGAAACAGTAGATAATAATGGCAGCAAACATGGGAGGAAATGGGCACCGAACTGAAAAAGGGAGGTTCAGGCACAGTAGATTAGATAAGAGCAGGAACAGCTTGTCAGGTTCCTTACCATTGAAGTGCTTCATAGCTTCTCATGGTGTTATGGTTTGTGTATAGATGTCCCCCCAAAGCCTCATGCCATCATGGGGTGGCTTCTGGAGTTTGTGACTGATTATTGAGGGTGTGGACGCTGCACCTACCCTGGGACAGGTAATTTGCATTTCAGTGTAAGAAGGGAAAAGAAGTCAGCTGCTTGAGCTGCTGCTACCATTCCCTTTGATGCTCTCTTGCTCTTTGCCTCCGCCAGGAAAGGTTACTTTCTGCTGTGTGCTGCTCTGTCTTGGACCCACCTGAATATGGACTGAAACCTCCAGTAACTGTGAGCTAAATAGTTTTCCTTCCTTCATTTTGAGCGTCGGGTATTTGTCCCAGCAATGAGAGATGAGTAACTAAGACACATGGGCATTATAAAGAATGCATAATCTAGGTGTCCTTCAGAGTCAGAACCTGCATTTAGTGAGTTCTCCCCAGTGAGTCCACTGGGTACAAAGCTTGATAAGCAATGTTGTACTTTAGCTATGGGAAAAGACCTTGAAGTACAGCAGAATAATATATTTGAGATCACAAATAGGAAGGTGTGATACAGAGGATATTTTATCATGTGCTACAAAGCGATAGGTATATATTTGGGTTGATAGTTTTTGTTTTACTGTAATTTGAGAAGAGCATAAGGTGAAAGTGATATGGAAATAAGAACCAGGAGGGTAGACAGCAGCCCTGAATCCTAGATAGCTGACAAGAGAAAATACTTGCATGCCATTTGGAAAAGCTTAGAGGAAGCAATATCTTCAGGGAAAACCAGCTTTCACTTTAAGGCAAACAAACACAAACAAGGACAGCAAATTCCCACAGAAAACTGAACTCCCAAGGAGATAGTGCCTATGGGGAAGTTTGCTGTTTATGGTTAGCAATTCCAGCAACACACAGTGGATTTTATCTTCTCTTCCTGTGTTTCGTCTTGGTAGATGATGGCAGAAACATTCTATGAGAAATGTATAAAGTAGGGCTAGTCAGATAGCTCAGCAGACTAAAGTGCCTGCTTAGGCAAGTGCAGAGACTGGGGTTCGATCCCCAGGATGCCATGCAGGCCCCGCCCACGGGGTGTGCTGAGATGGCAATTGAGACTGGGCGTGATGGCGTGCGCCTGTAATCCCAGCACTTGGGAGGCTGAAAATAGAAGGATCACTGAGTCCGATCTGTGTAGTAAGACCCTGTAGACCCTATACTAAAATAAAAAATAAAAAATAAAAGAAATGTATAAAGTAAAAAGAATAATTTCTTACGAGTGAAACAACTTTTAAAGTAAAAAGCACATATCAAAACATAATTTATTAATTCTGTCGTTCATAGCTCTTCTTCTCAAAAGTGAATTCCTTGGGCTGGAGAGATGGCTCAGTGGTCTAAAGCACCTACTTAGAACAAGCTTAGCAAAGCATCAGGGACCGCGGTTCAATCACCCAGCACCACACCTCTCTCTCTCTCTCTCTCTCTCTCTCTCTCTCTCTCTCTCTCTCTCTCTCAAATAAATAAAAAAAATAAAAAAAGTGAATTCCTAAATGTGTTAAATTCAGTGAACCAATCTTAATAATTTAAGAGGCACCAACACTTTTTAAATGTTTATAATAGCATAGTAATTTAGTACAATA